TAATTATCAATATTTATTGATAAATAATATTTATTAATAAATAACATTTATTTATAATTAATAATAATAAATAACAATTAATATTAATCAGATTTATAATTAAAAAAAAGGTCAAAAAAAACTCCTGATACGCTATTTCAACTAGTTTCGCAATAAACTAGCTTATGTTCATTCAAACGTGTACTTAAAAAATAAGTTAACTTATGTTTCCAAATAACGCCTTACAAGGACATCCAATCGTCAGGTGTGGAGCTAGGATTTGGTACGAGAGGGAACATAGATAAATCAAAATTTTGAAAATAAAAAATTAAATATTAGTTTTTTTGAGAATAAGAAAAACAACGGTATGATATTATATTAATAAAATCATGACCTTTACAATGTTCAATAATGATCCAAACGAGTTTTCATTTTCTAGAAACTTATCTATGAATTTCATGTGAATAGCAAGACTATAACCCTAACTAGAAACAACTATTAACATTGTTTTTATTTGGCACAGATGACTAATATTCAGTTGCTTTTTTCTTTGATAAATACTTATACATAATTATTAACTGTTATATCAATTGATCAACTAGTTATACACATGGAAAAACAATTTTACATAACTGTAAATTTAAAAATAATTCAACAAATCTACAAGATTGCAGTTGAAAAGAAATTCATAAGATTTCAAATTCAGATATTTTGTCATGAATTAGGGTAGCACATGTCAGTTATGGAGAAAAGAGTTCACTTACTAGTAGACATATTGGAAATAAAGCCTACATATATGATATATACTTGTCAATAAATTAAGTATGCATGCTCTCACATATATTCTAACTTTTAGTATTTATTTTTGAATTTATTAATAAGAATTTAATAAAAGTACATTTCAATATAACAGAGAGTTACATTTAATTTTCACACAAGTTTATAAAATCTCATGGCTGTCCCTGGACATGATGTCAGTATTGTATTGACATTCATTCGAAATGTATACAAAGCATATACAGTAACATTTAGGCTTTTTTTTCTATAACTAAATGAATTTTTTGGGACCGAACTATGAGAGGAGTAATTTGAAAATGGAAGTTGGTAGAAATATAAATTCTCAAAAATTTCTTTAAGGATTTATTAAAATTGTGAGATAGAATTGAAATATTAAAATCACTGCAAAATTCAAGGGTCATAACATACATTAATTACAAGTGTAATAATGGTGGTTACGTGGCTCATTTTGGAGCGAGTTGGTGACCAAGTTGAAGGGTCCAGTTGATATATAAACACAACATATATCCTATTTTAGATGTAACAATTTTGAAAATAAAACACGCATAAATAACAAGAAAAAAGAAACAAATAACTAGAGGGTGTTTCAATCTCAACAGTTGTATATGGTTTTTCTTCTGCATGAGCATTTGAACATAAAGATTACGTATCGTGGTAGTCAATTTATGCTCTATTTGGTTTCTGTAATGACTATATTTTACAATATAACGAGGTGTTGGTTGTACTCATGATTTAAGGTGTCAATTGGGATCTTGGCCCAATTTCATTGATGGAGGGCAGTGATTGAGTACAAAATTATGTACAACAAAAATTATCGTGATGATGCAGCAAATTACTCCAAAGATTTTTATAAAGGTTATGAGGTATTGACTATTGACCTTGTAGTTAAATATAAGGGGAAATAGCCCTACAAATTAAATTAACTAATTTTAAAAAACAAGTACATCAATTGTTGATACATTAAAAAATGACACAATAATTAAGAAGGTATATATGTAGTTTAATACATAATAATGTATCTTTGGACCAATAACAAGGCGTGAACCGTAAAGGTTATGATGTTATGATTGAGATCCTAAAAAATATGGTGGAATATCTTTTTTGTCTAGGTTTGATTCCAGACGTACATTATAATTATGGTCACTGAATTTATAAGAGCTAAGTTTCTTACGGTTATAATTTACTAAAATAAGTTAAAAAATAGTTTTTGACATCCTTCACAAAAAAATAAGACTTGTTTAAAAGTAGGAAGTCTAAGGTTTAAATTCAATGAGGAATAAAAATCCACTTGTGGCCACGAAGGTTCAAATACGGTGACTCCGGACTATCTACAAAGTAGGTGACCGCCCTAAGATTAATCGGCTCGCATAACTAATAATAGATTGGATATTCAGGTTAATTAAAAAAATACAGTTTGGGTCCATATTATAACCAAACATAGTTGTGGCATCCCACGATAACTTAACTCACCTTTCAATCATTTTGTATTGGCGGGTTCTAGTCTCACAAAAGAAAGTGGATTGGACCACTTTGTTTTTATTGAATTATCATGTTAATTTTTATCATCTATAAATATATCAAATTAATATAACCATATTTTGACTCCGAAAAAGAATTAATGGATAAATAAAAATTATAAATATATATATATATTCCCCTATACATAATTAGTGACATTCCCTCTAACTAGAAATTGTAAATTTTTAGAGTGAAAGTGAAAAAAAAAACAAAGTAAGAGGGGGCTTATTGAAATTAACTCAGAGACAGGGTGTTATCGAGGCAAGAGAACAATGGTCCGAACGATTCCACGTGCAACGTCCGTGACAAAAGAATGGATCAGGAGATGACAAGGCAAATGCTGTTGATATTCTTTTTCAATAAAATAAATTAAAAAGAATTGATTTAATTATTAAAGGTGTTTGGTGAATAAAATGTTTTAAATAATGAGCGAATTACTTTTTGCCCCTTTCATGCGTTATTAATTTCTATTTTTATTATTTTTATCTTTATAATTTGTAATTTATTATTATTTTTTATATTAGATTAATTTCTATTTATAAAATACAAGGGACCAAAAAAATAAATAATTGTAAACTACAGGGTTCATAAACAACAATAAATTATAAATCATAAGAATGAAAACAACAATAAATCACAAACTATAAGTATGAAAAACGTAATTTTTAAATCATACAACGAAAATCACAGTTTTTAACAAATCACATAAACGAACGCAATTTACTCTAAAATAAAATAATTGTTCTAAACAATAACATATACTTAACGAATTCCTAATTAGGTCATTCTATTTAAAAACATCACATCGAAACCTTCCGACTTCCTAAACACATGTTTTTAGGAATTAAGATAGTTTTATTAGAAAACCAAACAATTGTTGAGTATGATATAATAAACTAAATTACTGATTAACTTGAAGGTTTTTTATTTGAATTAAAATTACTGTAACTGATAATTATTTTAGTTCTATTGGTTTCTTCTTTTAACCTTGTCCTCACCATCACTGCTTATTTTAACAACATCATCCTTCCATCGTTGCCCCTACAATACCATTACAGTTCTTACGTTAACTCTACTTCTCACATGATTCTTACCGAAACATGATGTATTAATAAATACGTTTTTGATTTGAAATGACGAAACATCCGATTCTTGTTTTTGATGAAACAATGGATACGGGTTTCAACTTGGAATGATAAAAGCATTTGGTTTTTGAAAGTGGAATGATGAACCATTTGATTGTATTTTGTTTTAATTTGGTTGATTTTCAAATGAGATGATTATTATGGTGCTTGTTGTTTTAATTTTTCTGTGTACGGTTGTTTTAAATGGTTATATTCTTCCTTTTTATTATTTATTAAATTTTTGTACATAAAAAATACAACCAATAATATTGTATTAGAAAATGCATTCAAGATTTGATGTTTTATGATTATCTCCAACCCAATCATTTGAAAACGTTAAAAATTACGGGTTCATTGAATATTAAAAAATTAATATCAATTACATACTAGAAAAACATTAAAAATATATTTAATATTATAATAGTAATGATAAATAAAATATTTAATTTTAAAATTATACTATTTTATTAAAATATAACATTTATAATATATAATTAAATTTTATAATCAATAAATAACTATCACTAAAATTTTAAAGTATTTATTTAATGAAACATCGTTGAAATTAAAATGATAATTTTTAATCAATAAATATTACGTTTACAAAGCAAATTAAATTACAATAGTTTATTTCTAAGATAACATATATCCAAAAACAAATCAAATTACACTGGTTTTTAGAGTTAACATACTCATTCCAGATGTTCAATTAATACATTTTGAAGTTCAATATGAGAATATTTGAATTTCTGAACATTATTTTATATTTCATCCTTATCCTTGATCTTTTTATGTCGAATAATGAATTCTTGAAGTCCAATATCAATCTTCTCAATGTTAAGCATCTCAGTATCATGAAACTGGGGGAGAAGATGTAACACCTCATGATCCACATTTGCATATAATCATGTATTTCATATATTAATAAATACAAATTTATACATTCAGTCCAAATATACAAAAGTTGTA